AATGTAACAAAAAGAGGAAGGAAGATAAAAAGATGATAAGGAAGAATCAGGAGAAGAAAAGTATAAAAAAAGATATAAAAAAAGCAGAAGAAGAAGAAGTAAAAGAAAAAGAAGTGGAAGAAAAGAAAAAGAAAAAGTTGAAATAAATGTAAAAGAAGAAGGATGAGGATGAAAAGAAAGACAGAAGAATAAGAAGATGTAAATGAAAATAGAAGAAGGAAAAGAAAGAATAAAAGAAGAAAGAGAAGTAAAAATAAAAGAATAAGGAGAAGCAAATGTAAAAGAAGAAAGAGGAAAATGAAGAGAAATATAACAAGATGAGGATGCGAGAGAAGAAGGCGAATAAAACGCAAAAGAAGGAGGCAAATGAGAGGAAAACGATTTCACATCTCTTCTTTGCTCTCTTCATTTACTGCAGCCCATATACTTGCTGGGGTGGGTTGGGTCATTTGGTCGGCCTTTTAATGGCGCCCGGTGGACGGACGAGGCGAGACGATTTGGCAGCAATTCCGCCGACGACTTGCAAACGGGGCGGCGGATTGTCAACTCGTTTGGCGCTCCAACCAGCTGACGACAGATCGGCTCCGGCTGAAGGGGAGCGCCGGATCACCTGCCATCGGTTGCTATGCAAATGAGTCGCCGGTGCAAAGTATGCAAATGAGCCGATCGCCTCTTCTCGCCTCGGCCCGATCGGGTCGGCCGAATGCGGCTCTCGGCGCGCCGCGAGCAGAGTCTGCGAGTCCCGTCACCGCGAGACGTCATCCAAAGCTGTGTCGTCAACGCGGACGACGGCCGACTCTCTCTTTGCCCTCCCGTCTCGCCTCGGCAACACAACCAGCTCATTGTCTCTGCGCCACTGGTCGTCAAGCGCTACCGCGTCATGCCTCATTTCGAGTCCTGTCATTCGAGTCGGCTCGCCGGTCCTCCTGGCAACTGTCCGTCGTAGTCGACGTCTCGTCGAGCCGATGTTGGCACCGCGGCGTGTGTGCCCAGCGACGCGACGACGGTGGAAAGAGACCGAGAGCGACAACAGCCGGAGTGGGGGCTGGAGCCGACAAGAGAGAGAGAGAGATGGCGACAACGCGATTGGTCGAGACGCACTCGGGTGGGCCGGGCCAGCCGCGGGGTCAGCGTCGCGGTCAAGACTGGCGAGGGCTCGGGCGCAGTCGCGTCACCTTTTCACCGGCCGCGTCGCGTCACGTCGCGTCCCTGACCCTGAACCGGCTCGAGGTCAGCCAAAAGGCATCTTCATGACCCGGCAGAAGAGGTCAAGCCGAGTCGCTTGATCCCTTCTCTCTCTCGCTCTCTCTTGCTCTGTTTCTTTGGTCTCTCTGTGTCTGTCTGTTTTGGTGTGTGTGTGTGTGTGTGTATGTGTTGTCCTGCTGTTTGTCAACTTAATCATTTTTTGCTGTGAAACGGAACGCGTCAAAAAGTTGGGTTTCGAGGAGTATCTTTTTTCATAATTGGTTGAGCTTACTTCCATTTCGAGTGAAAGTGTTGCGTGAATAGACTCGAAGGTCGGTTCCAACAGAAGAC